GTATGTATCTGTCACTCATGCAGTTCTTTGTGGCACGCACGGCGGAACAGGGTGCCCGTCAGCTCTTGTGGGCTGCGCTCGGTCCAGACGGAAAGGACGGCGAGCATGTGAAGTATTTGAACGGCGCGTATGTGAGCACGTTGGAGGTGAAAGAGCCGAGTGATTATGTGATGAGCAAGGATGGGTATGAGGCGCATGAGAGGATTTGGGTGAGTTCTCATTTATTTTTTGTTTTGCTAGAGAAGAGATCTGACATGCGACGGTGTTTTTATAGAAGGAAACCCTTTTTATCCTGGGACCCCGTCGCCGAATCCGTCTTCAAGAAGTGCAGAAGCCTCTGCCAGTCTACGGCAAGCCTTCCACATAAAGCGTTGGATTAAACGACCTGGTCTCCAATAGTAGTTCGATTGCACGTTCGCGTCGTGTCGGGGTGCTACCCCGGATATGCGCAAGTACGACATTATTAGGGAGGGGATATAAAATGTGTACAGAAGCTGCGGTATGAATAAATAAAGGCCTAAGATTCCTACGCTTGCGCTAACAGGTACTGCTCAGACACCTTCTGAACCTCCGGTGCCACCTTTGACATGTATTTGTCAAGATATCGTTCGATGGTAATTTGGCGTCATCCATAGCCTCATGACCTGCCAGCACGAATAGTAGTATTTGAAAAAGGGACAGAGTCGTTATGCCCTCGAAAACCCGCGAACACATACCATGTTATTCTCGCTACTAGAGGCACTATCGACCGCTCTCACTTGAGACTGCCAAGTTCGCTCTCGGTCCCATACCCCGGGTCAGATTAGAAAGGAACTCAATTCCTTGTTCTTTTTAAAATCAAGAATTGATTTTGAAGTTCAGCGTTCCAATGCACCAAACGCGGTGACCATGCTTGGGCATTTTTTTTTTGTTGCCCTACCTGTACCCAATAGAAAGTCAAGCATTGAGCCTGTCCTCGAGGCTGTTTCCCGACATTTCACCTACCCGTATTTCCCTGAGATTACTGCGCCCCCAAGTCCACGAGACGAGGTTGTTCGATGTTCGACGGAACATGATCGAACGTCACCTGTGCACGGCCGCGCATCTGGGCAACACCTGTTCGCCCGCGAAGGCACAGTATAGATCTTCGAGTTTGTATGTCTTGCTACAACTTGAACAATATTTTCCCAAAGACCTCACGTAATAGCAGGGGTCATGCTATCAAGCGGTCGCCCGTCTGGAGACTTATCGGACGTCGCTGCTTTCTTGCGGTTCTAAAATTGTTGCCGTGGGGTCACATGGCTACGTGAAGGCATCAAAACCGATTGCATTGGACAGGAATCCTGCAGAAAGCCTGATGCCCGCTGTAGGCAGCTCACTTGAGCATGATGCTACAGCGTTACTCCAAAACCCATGATCCTGTGGGGTCTCAATTTGAACATTATATAAGGGGCTGAAGGGGAGATAATGTTCTTAACAGACGCACTCTGCGATGCTATTCGCATTGACAACCTCTCTTCTCTTGTTTGCCTTGCAGGATGCTGTCGCGCTGGGTCCTGTTCCTGGGCAGATCAAAAATCTGGTGACATTCGGCGATTCCTATACAGACGTGGTAAATAATCCATCCAGGAAAGTATATAGCCCCGGATGATACTCACCGTCGTATCTTCTCAGGCCGCACCCGGTGACGCTGGAGTCGCCTGGCCGATATACGCAGCAAGAGATGGGAATTTCAACCTCTTCCCCTTCGCAAGATCTGGTGCGACATGCTCCAACAATCTGACCGATAGGCCCTTCCCTTCGGTGTTCGAGAGCCAGCTGCCATTGTATTTCACGGAAAAGAGCAATGGCTCGTTGCGCTTAGATGCTCTGGACACGATCTACACGCTTTGGATCGGGACCAACGACGTCGGTGTTAATGCACTATTGACAGGGTCGGGAGCTCCAGGAGTCACCCTCGTTGATACCGTCTCTTGTGCGATAAACTGGATCACAACGTTGTATAAAAGTGGTGCAAGGAATTTCCTGTTTCAAAATGTCGGCAGTCGTAGTGTTTATTATGGTGTTAAGAATGAGATCACTGATATATGCACTCACTAGATGATTCCATTGCAACACACCATCCTATATTCCGCAGACTCCTACGAAAATCGGTATTGGACAGGCGCACGAAACACAACGGAATGGAGTGTGTTCATGACAGAATTAGTCAACACTGGCAATGCTTTGGCCAAACTTATGCTACAAGCCTTGCCTGCAACCCATCCTGGCGCGCATATTGGTAGGAGCTTGCACCATGTTTATGCATTTTCGACGTCTCACAATACTTTCTGTAGGTCTCTTTGACTCGTACGGTCTGTTCTCGGACATTCTTGCCCATCCGCAGCTGTATTTGAATGGCACCGCTCCGCTGAATACGACGGGAGCGATCCGTTCCTGCATCTTCAAGGAGGGAGAAGACACATCCGACACAGGATCATGTACTATCGCGACTGGGACAGCTGTCGATAGCTTTGTATGGTGAGAATTCCTTTCTCAAAATTCGATGCCGAATGAGACTCACAACGGAATGCAGGTTTGATGAATTACACCCTTCTGAGCAATCGGATAGGGTTGTCGCAAAAGAGATCTCGGCTGCCATCCGTAGAACATCTGAGAGTTGGACAACGTGGTTCAGCTGAGGAAGTGCTTGTTGTCCTATATAAAAATAGACATAGCATGGCACGAAGTAGGAGGGAAAGAGACGATGGTACCTACCGATGTTAATAAGATGTCGCAGCCATCTACATTTGAAACAACGCATAAATGCGAACCAGATCACGAGAGATTACTAGATGACCACAAACTGAATGGGTCAGACGCCCGCGAGGTTGACTGATATACAATTATGAGATCGTCAACAAGAAGCTGACATGAATAAAATACTATGGTAGCAGGTAAATCGTCCGATGCGCATAATCTTACAGCTCCTCGTCCACGTAATTGGCCATGGGGTCTTCTGTCATCCGACGGTTCATTCGATAGGCCTCTGCAATGACCGTCAGTACCCATCGTGTGCAAAACGTAAAGTGCAACTTACCGAGTTCCTCCTCCGTAACCTCGTGACTGTCGCCAGCTTTCTTCTTCTTGCCGCCCCATTCTTCCTCTTCATCCCTTCCTTTCCGTTTCCTTTCCCTCTCCGCCCTGAGCGCCTGCGTCAATTTACTCTCGTCAATCTTCACTTCACCCTCACCCAACCGTCTCTTCGAGAACAACTCTTCCGCCTTTTTCTGTCTGTCATCCGAACCACCAAGATCAGGCTTCGGAGCTTCCGATGGTTCATCCTTTGATGAGGAGGCGAGTAAATTCTGGGCAGATGAGGCTTTCGCTGCTTCGATACCAGCTTGGCCCGTGCAGTAGGAGATATGGATGGAGGAATGACAACAGGCATAGCCCCACAAGCCAGAACTGGGTTCATACCATGAACCCCAAACCGCAGTATGGTTGTTGGTATAAACTGGAGTAACGTTAAATTTGGCGTAGGTAATTGATGATGATAACGCGACGTACCATCTTCTAGGTATTTTGAACGAGCCTTGGCCCTCTCTTTACCCTTAACGACCTGCCCTGCTCGAGAGAACTCAACATATTCCTCAGTCTGACCTTGTAGAAGCTCTTTCGGAGCTTTCTCCAGATATTGCTCTCCGCCGTACTTTGCGAGGATGCTGACTTTTGTGGAGTCCCTTAGCTGCTCTTTCTTCTTTTGATACTCTTGATGTAATAACTGCCCCTGCGTGGGATTGGCGTTCATATGAACATCATTACCGCGCGCAGCAGCGTTCCAGGCGAAGAGCTGCAGCTGCTGAACGTCAGGGGCTTCGCCAGAGTACCTAAGGAAATTTTCCCCTGCGAAGAGAGCCTTAAAATATGACGTTATTAATGCCACAGGACTACAGTTATGGTAACACACCTCTTCTTCGGGAACGTCCCTGAGTGGATTGTCACGCATGGAGCGAGTCTTGGGGTCGTAGTAAGCACTCTCAGGATCCAGGTTGATGAGATACTTTGCAGTATCTTCTCGAATACGCAGGTTTCGAACAGTGATTCGGGTCTTCGTGTCGAGCTTCTGACCAACAGCGTCTGCTGCTTCAGCATACTTGTCCGTGTCTTCGTCCTCTTCATCGCTGCTTCCGAAATCATCATCTTTCTTCTCTTCCCCCTTACCCGCCTTTGCGACCTTCCTCACTGCTGCTAAGTCCGTTGTAGTCTGCTTATCAATTTCCTCTTCCCTGATCTTCTGCCTCGCGGCTTCCACTGCGGCATACTCATCATACACTTTCCTGTGTTCACTTGGATCATAGCCGTTCCACCGATCGCGCTTCGCATCGTACCCCGATGCCACATCTTGTATAATTTCGTCTGGAGCAATATCCTTTCCGGTAAACCTCGCACCACGCTTCCGAGGCCGTTCTAGACAATCCACCTTTTTATGTGTTACAGCACCGCAATTCTCACATGCTCCTTTCCTATATTTCTTTGCAGCGGGCCCTGCTTTGGCGCCGCGATCATACCAGTTATCGAGCTTGTCGGCAGAGCGATCGTACTCTGGGATACGTTGATGACTCAATGAAGGTGCACCTGTGTCGAGATACCATGGCGCCTGGGCGATGTATTCTGCAAGAATGCTTCAGTAGGGACTTGTACTGGCAGAAAGCATAGTTGACTTACGAGGAATATGAGGATTGATAACCTTGCCCTCTTCGTCCACTGCAGCTGGGGCGGTACCGGCCTTTCGAGCGGCATCAAGGTCTTTCTGCCTACGGAACTCCTCCCGGGAGAGTTTCCCAGTAGCTAGTAATATGTATTAGCTCGTAGTCAAGTAAGGAGAGTTCTTAGCGCACCTGATGCCGAGGCCATATGAATGAGATTTTGGGTGGTGGAGAGCCTTGCTCGAGAAAGAGCAAGCCTAGGTTCAGTAAGCGCGAGAAGGGGAATATTTGGCTCTATTTGGTCAAGGTCCACTGGTTAGACAAAAAAAAACATGATAGTGACGAGATTCGAACTCGCGCGGGAAACCCATCACGGTTTGAGCCTTGACCTAAACGTGACGCCGTAACCACTTGGCTACACTACCGACATCGTTGAGTCCTTTTCAGCGGTCATACTAGGTTGAGGAGCGGCCACACCTGAAACACGCAGCAATAATTGATTAGTTGCCATCTTCAGTCAGAATTGTAGCGTTGCGTTGCCTGGCTCTGCCCTTCCACCTTATTCTTCACCACCGTATCCTTCCTCAAGTTCATCGACTCACTCGATGACTTCTATGCATCCAGGACTTGCCCGTCCGATGGGTCCGCGGATTCAACGCGCAGCGTCTCCTGCACCCCCATACAATTCACCAGATGGTGCATCTGCTCGCAAGCTCGCGAATGCCAGTGCAACCGAAACTTCTTCATTACACACGAACGGCACTTCGAATGGCTCGTCCTCTCTATCAGTGCCTACTGAACATTCTCTATCTCGCTCCCCAACCCCTACTATCTCACTCCGAATTCCAGGGCAATCTGGGAAGCCTAAGCTTTCCCTGCCGAAACTGCAGTTTAGTAACGGCGAAGGACCTTTTGCCGGTGGCTACGCAGGGGGACCCAATAATGCCAACGGTTCCTATTCTCCTCATCTGAATAGTGGTATAGCAGTGAACTCAGCCGAGAGCGAGCCCACCATCCGACCGCAGCAAACTATCTCACCCCAGCCAAAACCCCCTCCTCCAGTCTCAGTCTCAATAAAGGATTTACGTCAAACTGTCGAAGAGTTTGATCCATGGTCGGACGATATGTTTGAGGAGCTTGACCGACTGGGTGAAGGCGCGGGGGGCACCGTCTACAAGGTGCGAGACCGGCGCACTGGTGCCATCATGGCACGTAAGGCGATTACTATGCATGAAGCGCCAATGAAACAACTGCTGCGAGAGATCAAGATCATCTCATCTACATCGCATGTTAACATCATCAAGTTCTACGGAGCTTACATCTCGCCGTCGTCGAGTGAGCTTAAAGTCATGATGGAATTCGGCGAGGGTGGCAGCCTCGAGTCTGTTGGCAAACGTATGAGGACGATAGGAGCTCGAGTAGGCGAGAAGGTTGCAGGGCGTCTTGCTGAGGGGGTATGTTTTTCGGCGATGCATATTGATCGGTCCACTGATACCACCGATCGTCTACTTGTGCAGATCTTGCAGGGGCTGGCGTACTTGCATTCGCAAAAAACCATTCACAGGGACATCAAGCCGCCGAACGTTCTTTTGACCCGCGAGGGCATTGTCAAATTATGTGACTTCGGTGTTTCAGGAGAGCTGATCAACTCGAATGCCGGTACATTCACAGGCACGAGTTTGTATATGGCGGTAAGTACTCCCCCGAAAAGTAACAATTATTCCTGATGTCCTCGCTACAGCCTGAACGACTGTCGGGCGATCAATATAGTATCTGCTCCGATGTGTGGTCTACTGGCATCACACTACTCGAACTTGTCCAAAACCGTTTCCCCTTTCCAACTGACCTTTCGCAGATCGAACTGATGATGTACATCACTCAGAACGAGGTATGCCGACCCGACTTCCTAGTTTCATTAATTCTAACATGCGGTATCCAGCCTCCTGAACTAGAAGACGACGACGACGCAACCTATAGTCCGGAAATGAAGAATTTCCTCAAAGTGGCGTGCGTATTGTTCATAACGTGTTGATAGGCTATTCTCGCTCACATGTCGCAGTCTGACACGCGACCCCAACGCACGACCAAACCCTAGTCTAATGCTGGCACAACCGTGGATAGTTAGTGTAATGCAGCAGGAGGTCAATATGGCTGCCTTCCTACGGCAAGTTTGGGGCTGGAAGAAACCCAGTCGAAAGCCTGGCGACACGTACGTTTCTATCTCATGCACACTCCTTACTCCCATCTTTTCTCCTTCCTTCTAATTCTCCGCCATTCTGTTTCTTTGCTATTCATAACGTTCCCTTTTTTGTTTTTTTTTGTTCTAGGCCCCCCATATCCCGTTTGGGCCGCATACTTGCGCGTTTATCTTGCTTCCACAACCTTTCACATCCCAATCCCGATCCCGATCCAGATGAAATTGGTGGAAATGATATTGACTCCCTTTCTCAATACACAGCTCTGCGTCCCGGCCGAGTTCAAGCCACCGCGACCGTCCAAGTTCAGGCCACCGCGATACCCTAGAAAGGTCCATGGCGGATCTACGCGTGACGGACTTTCCCCCAGTCGGAGATAGCTGAGCTCTCTCCGCAGCTCTATCTTGTACCTCACATGGACTCATACTGCAGACGTACAATTCTACCTGTAGTCTAGCCTCACCATTTGCTTCGGTCTCCTCTTTATTCAGTCATCGCACATCCACCATCTCCCAATCCTGCCAGCAACTAACCCCGCATTCCTGTCGTTGACATATTTTGCTGCCGTTACCTCGTCTGAAATTTCTCTCTTTTCGCAATTGGTCAATCGTGTACATCCTTCCCATTCACTCGTACCAGTCTGATTCACTGTCTCAATATTCCCCGTAAAATTTTACTCCCCCATTTTGTGTATCTATCCTGGATTTCTGTCGTTGTCTGATCTGTGGTTTACTACGACTTCAAGGTCTTGCCATGTTATAGCACGTTTTCGCAATTTGCATTGTCCCTGTCTTCACAGAAAGCTTAGGCCCTTAGGTAGCACAACAGGATAACAAAGGTATGGGTACAACGAGAGAATCAAGATTTTTCAATTACCACGTTATGAATGTCCCAAGATTCAAACTACAACAGGAGCTCCATCGAGATCGTCGTCCATAGGCTCGCCGTCCACATCTGCATCATCAAGCGGCACTCCGTCAACGTCGTCCATGGCGACGCCGTCAACATCTTCCATCGGCTCGCCATCCACATCATCGATAGGTTCGCCATCCACATCTGTCGCAAGTGGCTCGCCATCCACATCGTCTACAGGCACACCATCAACATCGCTTCCTTCGTCCATAGGTTCTCCATCATCGTCATCTGTTATGGCAGGGGGGGCACTGACAACCTCTGCAGGCTTGAATGAACTGGCTTTGAATTTGGCAACAAACGAGGTTGCCTCTTCCTTTGCAGGCGTGACCATCTCTTCCTCCTCCTCCTCGGCGTCATCTGTAGTCATTCCTTCTAACCTCGCTCGTAACTCGGCAGTGAAATCCGGGGGGAAGACAATCCAGTCCTCCCAAATGTCCACGATTGACGTGATCTGCTTCTTGAACGTCTCGGCAGTAATGCGTCCGGGGAAAGAATGATAGATGGTAGACAAATGATCGAACACAATGCCCAAGCGGGACTGGAATTCTTGCCGGAACTTCCATGCCATGGGTAAGGGAGCTGCTGAATTGTGCAGTATGTCGCAGATGAGATAAAGGCGGGCCACTTTACGAGGGACCGGAGTGCCATCGACAAGTAGAGAGGAGATGATGATGTCAACTACCTGAACCACATACCGAACTCTTCAAAACGAATCCTATGAATCGTGTAGATTTACTGACCTCTGAAGCTGCTTCAGCGTGTTCGAGGCTGAATGCCATACATCGAGCTAGTTCACCGCGTCTACCAGAGAGGGCACGCAACATCGCCTCGAATCGCCGCCTCGCAAGTCTGCCCAGCTGGTTCTTGCGTCCATGTTCGCGTTCTGAATCTTCGGCTGAATCCGTCGAATATACGGAGTTATACCCCTTTGACAGGCTCGTGCTCAGTCGGATGATGAATGATACACATGATGATTACTTACCTCGTCGTCAAACTCAGGGTCAATCGCCCTGCCTTGCTGTAGAAGAGATCGATACAATTTATATCTACGATGCTGCATAGCCGTTAGGAATCGGCGGTTTAATGTGGACGGCTTAGTGGCACTCACTCCAGGTCTTATGAAACTGTATTTCGGGTTAGATTGCTCGCGCTCCTGCAAAATCTTCTCATATTCAGCCCCATGACCTTTGACCTCTGCTGCAACAGTCCTGATAAACTGCTCTGAAGTTTCTTCCTCTTCTCGTGAGGGACTACGCGAATGCCTGCGCGGCGAACGGCTATCATATCGCCTTGATTTACCATACGGGTCGCGAGCCCCTCGGTGACCAGGGCGAGCCGGAGAACGAGACCGACTGTAAGAAGGGCTACGCGATTTACGTGAAGAGCGATGCCCTCTACCGGGGTCATATGACGGTGAAATGGATTGAGATGGTGAGCGAGAGTATCTGCCGGCGGGACTTCGACTTCTTTGCCGCCTTGGGGATTTACTGGCAGATCGAGAGCGAGATCGCGAATGTGAATGCGACTTCTTCACAACTGCAGTGGGACCGAGTGAGCAACGCACTGTCTAGTAAGGTAAGCGAGTACGTACCATACATCGGTTTTGCGGCTACAGGGACAGCCTTGCTCCAACCTACCCTCAGAATAGAACCGCCCCAGTCGAACCCGTCCAGCTCACGTAGAGCACCTTCAGCGTCTTTTCGTTTCATGTAAGCTACGAATCCGCTCAAACCAGAATTTTTCGTTCGCCTGGTAGTTGTCATGTCAGCACCTGGGCCGACTGTACCGTCCCCTCGAGGCCACATGATTTTAACCTGTAACGGTCTTGTCAGAACAGCATCAATAGACTACGACTGAGACCTACAGAGCCGACCGGACCTATGCGAGCAAAAAACATTCCTAGGCTCTGCTCATTGACGTAAGGAGGTAAGTTGGCAACGAATATATTAGAAGTCTATATAATGAGCTGAGTGGATTGAAACGAGCATAGATGGAAAGACTGAACCTCAGGGTCCCCGCGGTCCTTACTCCCACTTTGGCCTTCATATGCTGCCATAGATGTGATAGATCTTCCTTGCGTAGCTAACACACTTGCGCAATTGAGCACAACAAGGGGGTAGCCATTATGGTACTACTGACCATGTCTACCAAATTTGGATTCGCGACTAGCCTGTTCTCTGTAACGATGTCTTTAGCATCAGAGCAGATAGAAGCAGAACTTACTCGTGTCTTACCGCTTTATTTCTTCCAAGAATGAATCCATCGCACGCTTCCCTTTGGGTTTCGGCGCAATAGCAGGAGGCGATGAAGGCTAA